ATTTTTTCAAAAAATACAATTTTTTGTGTTTGGGACTCCCGCGGGACTTTTTGTGGAGTCCTGCAGGACTCCTTGCGGAGTGAGTCGACACGAGTCTCAATAAAAAATACAACTTTTTGTGTACGGGACTCCTGCGGGACTTTTTGTGGAGTCCCGTAGGATTCCCTATGGATTTTTTGAGAAAAAAACTCTCGAGGGAGTCCGGCGGGAATCCATCGGGACTCCCGCGGGAGTTTTTTACAAAACGGGACTCCCGCGGGACTTCTGCCGGGACTCTCGACTAGGGATACGTATTTAACCATATATTTGCGGTCTAAAGTCATACTCTTTCGACTATAACTTCTACTTTTTAGAGGTAATTCGAGTTGAATTGTTACTAAAGTAGAATCATCGATCAGAATGTAACTACACATGGCTTCCAGTCATCGTATATGTTTGGAAGGGACAGTTGTGGCATAATTTCCGCATTTTTTTCTTTCTTCTAAACTTTTATTCTATTAGCTGTTCTGTTATGTGAACAAAACTATTTCGACGAATGATCTCACTTTTTACAACATATGTCACGGATCATTTTCCGCTTAATGAGCAACAACCAGGAGAATTGAGTAATAACTTAAAACTATTTATTTGTTTTTCGTATTGCTGGTAAAAATGAACGTAAACGTGTTTATCATTTTGTACGTACTCACCTAATTGCAACCATATACTTTTTATCCGTGCGGTCGAACCGAAATGATGCGTGCATTATTCTGAATCGTTGCTCTGAACAATTTATTCTGCTAACTCTTAATAAAGTAATATTTTGCTGTCTATTTCCACCTAATCTTGACCATTAGTATCATACTGGTTGACTGGCCAGTTTTTACTGAGCATCCAAACCGTTTGGTGGTCAAACAATATAATAGACTCCTATTTTCTCCATGACGAAAGCATTTCTAAGAGTCGAGTCTGGCACATTATAGGTATAAAGTTTAATTCTCTAAAAAATATTTGCTAGAGCTGTGTTTCTAGAAGTCGAGCTTCCAGGTTAGAAATCGTACATACAGCTTTTCATCTTGGAAATTGAATCGGACCAAGTGGAATCCAGCAAATAAAAGTTGGGAAATTAAAATTGCCACACAATAGTCTCTAAACTGAACTGTAGAAAACGCTATTTGTAAACGCTATTTAACGCTTTTTGGACTACTTTTTCCTAATTTTTGTTATGAAAAAAACGTTTTCTACGATTCCACTTAGTCCGATTTGATTTTCAGTTCAATGAATCTTGTACCTCAGCTCCACGTGTTGTGAAATAAATTGTTTATTAGAAAAAGAAGAAAAGTGATCAAAAGAAAATCTGCCTTCACTTGTTCAACTAAGATCAAAAAAGCTCACTATTTTTGCTTTTCTTTTTTCGTGCTCCTTTTGGTTGCTATTGGATTGTAGTAGGAATGGTTTCAGACGATCACTATGAACTAAGTCTAACTTAATGACACCAAACGGATCTATCAATTGATATGTATTGAACGGACATATCTTAAATTAATTTTAAGGGTCTGATTTTTATTCGATTATCATATTGCTGTTTCATTTGATATGCTGAATTATTACATCTTACCTGAGCTGCTGAACGTCTATCACCTAATTCTTCTAAATGCCTAGTGCGATATTCGTTTAAATCATCATTATTATTTTCATCACAAACATATGGCTGATGTGAATAGGAGAGTTCTGTAGAAATAATTTAGAGAAGAAACTTTTGGAACACACTGTATACAAGTAGTGCTCATCAACAGATTCGCTGACCCTTTCCTTAAAGATGGCACGATACTCTGAGCAAGACATTTGTTCTAGATTTCGTAATTTCTCAATCCTCGATATGACTAGTCATTCGACAAAGTGCCTTAAATTACCTAAAAAGCTTTCTTCAAAACCCTCTCTCATCTGAAGCCACAGAAACCATCTCTGAGTCGGTCATTGGCGCCCATTCCTGTTTAAGCTCATTCACAGGGGAATGTTCTGCTCTACAAAAGTCTGTACATTGGATATTTATACATAGTTTCGTTACCTGTAGAAACATGGCATAGAAAGGCAGATAAAAAGCAAAACTGCGATTTATGACAAAAATGATAGGGAGTTTTCAGGTCTTTCGTAACTCGAAATGCTACAGCAATTGAGAAAACAACGTCATCAGTGGATTCAGCGCTATCGTCGAGACACAAACGCTTTTTCATATGAGTAACAAAGTTGTGAAAAGTTTAGTGCACAAGTTAATTGTCGCTTGCCCTCAACGACTACTTCTGGAAAGAGAAAAATGAGAACTAGTCAAACAATGCAGTTTGAGTCTGCAATATGCACAGTTTTGTAGAGCAGAAAATCCTCTATCTTCTGCACTAAAAACAAGATCTTGAAAATATACGATATATTAAAATATTTAGAACAGATAAATGGCTTCATCATTTTGAGATCTTGTATTATTAGTGACAAAATGTTAGGAGACATTATATTTTTTAATGAGGATTAATACTGCAGACGAATGTTTTACATGAAGGACCTGCAACGAATGACTGATAAAAACATGATAACGCAATCAAACAAGTGGAGCGGAAAAGAAGTCACAATTTGCTCTTTCCGTCGCAGTTGCGTTACTTACCTGTTTTCATTCTGTGCTATTTTTTGAATAAGGCACCCATGTATAAATATCGAATATATATGGTTTGAAGAGCGAATAATTCTCCATCAAATGAACTTAAAACGAAATCTTTAAACCGTGTTTCAATTCATCAAAAAAAGAAAACAAATGCGACACATTCTTTATGACCCAACCGTTATATATAAACTTTCTTCAAAACCTTCCCTCACCTGAAGCCATACGAATCATCTCCGACTCGGTCGTCGGTGCCCGTTCCTGTTGTCATTCCGAGCTCGTCGTTCATTCGAGAAACATCTGATAGTTACTTATTTTCAAGAACTCTACTTCGACACCTGTCCTAGATTATTTTGATTTTTTAAACTCGACTTGTTTGATACTAATAGATATGTTCCGCCTATTCGTTACAGAAAAGCCTAAGCCTTAGAAACTTGGACTGGTTCTTACTACGCGCGCAGTCCTCGAGACTGCCTTTCTGTAACTTTTTACTCAACTCATGTTGAGATTATATAACATAAATGAATTATTCAATGGAGATCCTAAAACTGACTGAATGTTTAGGTGCCGATCTGACATCAATCAAACCTTGAATTTTCAATGCTTTCCTTAAATACCAGTTACGCCCATTTGTTGATGTTTGAAGTGAAGCTAAGTTTTGTAATGATAAAACCTGTAGTTGAATAATTTCTGACATATTTAAATCTTCCGGATAAAGACTTGGTGCTTCTGTTAATTCCAAAGACCATTGATACTTTTGCTCTAAATATGCAGCTTCTGAAGCTTCAAATACTCTTTTACTTCCTCCACCGAGTCTAATAAGATTTTGAGCCTGAATGATTGGAGCATCACGATTGGAAATCAGATGTTTTATCGCTGAACCAACCCAAGTACAGATCAAAAATTGCACGAATACTCCTGAAAAAAGTAATTCTGATGAACGTTTCCATTAGTAAGGTCATTACAGCCTCTTTCTAATGCATTCGAAGATAACGAGGAAAATTGTAGCTTTGTTAAATTCGAGCAGAACTAGGCATGAGAACAAAAAATGCTTTGAGAAGTTAAAATTTCTCTTTATAGCTTTACTTTTTTATGAACTGCTGAGTGTACGTACGTTTAATCATAGAATATCAGCCAAAAAGCCAGCAAACTAACATCCTTATAACACACTGTCTTAAGGGCCCCCCTCAGAAAGGACGATTCTCGGATTTTGAGATAAGTACATACAAAGATAGCCTAAAGTGTCTACTTTCAAAATACATATGATTTGATACCATATTAATGGGTTTTGAGAGGGCTTTGAGGGGCTTTTTGGAGACCCCGTGTACAAAAACTTACTATTTCATTTCGAACTGACGCACTGATGCTATGAAAGTGATTTTTGTACAAAACGAATACCTAATGATGCTGAGTACAATGCATGGGTGAATAAACTTAGAGAGTCCTCAGAAGCGTTTCCTGAAACAGGTTTTCTAGGAGATCTTTGAAAACCAGGTCGTGTGTAAAAAATTTCGAATAGGATTGTATTGCTTTTTCTCATGGACTGATAGCCCAAGATGTCCTCTTGAAGACGGAAGTCAAACACCACCTTGATTTTCCGCGGCTTGGGCGCTGTATCGGATTTCCTACCAGCCCCAGGATTAGTACCTGGTAACTATTGGTAACCTTGAAAACGAATGGACTATGGGTAATCAATCATGCTGAGTCTCGTGGCAATGTTTGCTTTTTAGAAAACGTTCTTAGAAACTAGCGAAAAAGGAGTTTTACGAAAATTGGGGTTTTCAGGCTGTTTTCACTTAGTTTTTGAAAATTCACTGTTCGCTCAAAATACATCAGAACTAGTTCAAAACTTCAGGATATGGTCAATGCTGTCCGCTAAACGTGATTATAAGATCGAAAAATCGAAAAAGCATATTTTCGTTAATGGGTTTTCCGGAAAACCTTTCGAGAAAACCTTAGAGTTCTGTAAAATCTCTTTCTAGATATCCTGTGAATAGGATATAGAACAGCCTAAATACTTTACATTCTGAAGTTTTGAACTCGTTCTGATGTATTTTG